TCCACCCTGAGCTGTGCTTTGCTTTGCTTTGTTTTGACTGGTCTTGTGACCATCTGGTTGTCTCCCACTTAGCCTATGGGGGTGTGTCAAACATTATATATGTTTCTATTCTGTAGGCTATAGTGGATTTAGCCTTAGGGGGTACATCATTCTAGGTTTTCCTACTTGTACTCCCAATGATGTTAGTTCATCATTCCTCTCTCATTTTGACAAAAATCTTAACAGACGGAGGAGCAAGTCACAGCTTAATTAATACCGCAACCGCACGGAAACTGCAACTGTCACTTAGTCGGAGTTTACCAGAGATAGACGCACGTTATATGACGGCACGCCGCTGGCCATACGGGAGAAGGTGGAGAGAGTAGAAGTCCGCTGCGGGGGGAACTTCGGGTTTACACAGGAAATGCTCGCGACAACATTGGATGGGCACGAGATTTTAGTGGGACGTGATTGGCTGCGACGGTATAACCCGCGAATCGACTGGACGACGGGTAGCTGCACTGTGCGAAGTAGCGGTAACTGGGTTGAACTACCTCGCTGGCAGTCGCCCGAGTCTTCAATGGTCCACGTCAACGCCATCACAATGAAACGGGGTGTCGCCGCTGGAGCTGACGTGTACGCGGTGGATATCGCAGTGGTAGGAGAAGCAGAGCAGCCGAACGATTTTCAGAAACTGCTGGCAGCGGTACCACCCGAACTACAGGAACTGTTGAAACGGTACCCGGGGATTTTTCCCGGTGACTTACCGGAGGGACTGCCACCTCAGCGGGCACACGATCACCGAATAGAGTTAGAACCGGGGGCACAGCCAACCGTACAGCGACAATTCAGGCTGACACAGCCCGAGCTATGAGGAAGCAGTTAGATTACCCGTTAGAGAAAACATTCATCCGACCGAGCTCGTCACCGTTCGCCGCACCGATACTGTTCACACCAAAAAAAGACGGAGGGTTTCGCATGTGTATTGACTACAGAGCACTGAACAGGGTTACCATCAAGTCGCGATACCCCATTCCCCGCGCCGACGAACTGATAGATCAACTGCGAACAACACGGGTTTTTTTCGAAAATAGCCTTAAGGGGAGGTTACCCTCAGATTCGGGTCGAACCGTCGGACTGCGCCAAGACAACTTTTAGAACTCGGTACGGGTCATTTGAGTACACTGTGATGCCTTTCGGGCTGACCAACGCACCGGCGACATTTCAGGTGGCCATGAACGAGGCGTTTAGGCCCCTCTTAGATAAATGCGTGATAGTTTACCTCGACGACATCCTCGTCTACCGTCGCGACAAGCAGCAGCATTTAGCAGATTTGGAAGTAGTATTTAAAAATTTAGACGAACACAGGCTACTGACAAAGGGTTCCAAGTGCAAGTTTTTTAAAGACAGGCTAGAGTTTTTGGGGCACGTTATTTCGGAGGCTGGGGTTGAGATCGACCCAAAGAAGCTGGACACGGTAAAAGCGTGGCACCCCACGACGAACATCACAGAGCTGCAGAGTTTTTTAGGGTTCGTTAATTTCGTGCGTCGGTTCGTCCCCGATCTGGCGAGGTTAACAGCCCCACTGACGGATCTGCTGCGGAAGGGGGTCGCTTTTACGTGGGGGGAGAAAGAGCATGCTGCCTTCTCTGCCCAGAAAAATGTTCTCTGTTCACCGCCCGTACTCCGCATCGCCGACCCACACCGCCCATTCGAAGTGGTTACAGTCGCAAGCAACATCGCCATCGGAGCCGTACTGCTACAGGATTTCGGCAACGGCCTACAGCCTATCGCATACGAGTCACGAAAACTGCATCCGCTCGAAAAAAAATACCCGATACACGACCGCGAAATGCTCGCGATCGTGCATGCATTCAAAGTGTGGCGCTGTTACTTGACCGGCGCAGACGTGACAGTACGGACAGACCACAAATCACTACAGTACCTCCGCGCACAGCCCCACCTCAACCCACGACAGATCCACTGGCTCGATTTCCTCGAGTCGAATTTCCACTACACAGTCACCTATAAAAACGGGGCATCGAACATCGCTGACGCACTTACCTGCCCCACTGCCTAAATCCACGCCATACTACTCGCCCAGACCAGCCCACTACTGACAGGACTATTTACCCACGGCTATCAAACTGACCCGTTCTTCACAGGAGGAAATTCGCAGCAGTTCGCAGCAGCAAAGGGAGTTTATTACGTAAAAGCCGGCACTGACCGCATCTGGGTACCGGGGTACACGTTACTACAGGAATTACTGCTACAGGAGGCACACGATGGAGTTACCTCAGGTTTTTTCGGAGTAGAAAAAACATGGCAGCAATTGCAGCGGTATTATTACTGGCCCGAGATGCTGACCGACGTGCAGCGACACGTGGCATCGTGTCCCACCTGCCAACTCATGAAATCATCACGGAAGCGGCCGGCAGGACAGTTGCAGCCGATACCACCCCCAGAGCATGCTTGGCAGCAGGTGACGATGGACTTCGTCACGGGGTTACCGGCTGGAGCAAGTGGGAACGTCGCGATCCTGGTCGTCGTCGATCGGCTGACGAAGATGGCACATTTCGCAGCCTGCAAGAAATCAATCACAGCCGAAGAAACAGCCCGCCTCTTCATCTCCACTGTCGTTCGATTACACGGGATACCAGCAGCAATCATCAGCGACCGCGACACGAAATTCACCAGCAACTTCTGGAGGAACCTGTGGCAGCAGTTCGGCACGCGACTACAGTTTAGTTCTTCGTACCACCCCGAGACCGACGGACAGATAGAACGGACAAACCAGACCATGGAACAACTCATCCGAGCCACGTGCGAAGATCCGACCACTTGGGAACAGCAGATGCCACTCATCGATTTCGCGTACAACAACTCGCCATCCGCCACGACCCAACAGTCACCGTTTTACCCGAACAACGGACAAGATCCTACAGTACCCATGACCCCGAATCCTGACAACCCAGTACCACGCGCGCAACAGTTTGCATAAATCCTATAGGCAGCACGGACCCGGGCAGCTGACGCAATTAAAAAGTCCAACGTCATCGCTAAGCGCAACGCCGACCGCCATCGCAGACCTGTCACTTACCAGCCCGACGACCTAGTTTTACTCGACACCCAAAACCTCCGCCTGCCCATCACCCAGAAACTCCGCCCCCGATACTGCGGGCCATTTCGCATCAGCCACATGATCTCACCCGTCACCGCCCACCTCCTCCTTACTGCTGACTGGTACGTCAGCCCGTCCTTCCACGTCAGCCTGCTCCGCCCATACATCCGATCCACTAGCCAGCTGCCTCGCAACCGCCCCGCCAGCATGACACGACCGCCAACAGAGCCAATCATCACGCCCGAAAAGATTTTGAGCCACCGAGTTCGTGACCCACGGGGAGCTCGCATGATCGAATTTCTGATCCGCTGGAAAGACCGTACGCCAACCGAAGACAACTGGGTTCCCCTGGACAGAATTGAAAACCACCCCGTCCTCACCGAGTATCTACGCAGCCGAAATTTCCGAGATGTACACGCACTTTCGTAAGGAGGGCCTCCTTAGGGGGGGGGGGTGGTGTAAGGAAAATTCCCTTTTCCTTTCTTCGCGTCCCTGCTCAGCGCGTACATCACTGTTCTCGCCAACAGCACCCAGCAGTAATCCGTTACCACTCGCGACACTCGCCTCTACACTGATCCCGCCAGCGTTCATGACGCGACCCAACCTCACGGTTCGGTTGGTGACCCGCGCTCCGGACCTATCGCCTCGACATTTCCCAACCTCGGCGCTAGGCCCGTCGCGCACCCCATTTTCCCACATTACTTTTACCACTATAGTTTCGCTATATATTCTCCGCGCATGCCTTCGCTCATTGTACTCTTGCTTCGATAGTGCAATTCTCGCTCACTGACTCAATTGCACTCGTAACAAAATCCATAAAATGCATGACATAAATTGATGACACTTTAAGAATCATTTGTGTGGCTACATGATCGAGAGCCCATGGGATCCCTTACAGATGCTTATTGAGGAGGAAAGCAACAGCTGCCTGACCCAACTCTCTACCATGCACCCTGAAGTTGTGACAGGCACCGTCAATAATGTGAAGGTGATGGTTGGGAACATCTGTGTGGAAAAGGCTCGCATCTTCAACTGGTACTGTGGCGTCTTCTGATCCATGGATTGTACACACACTGTAAATGGACACGTGAGTCCGAAAACGGTATAAACATGCCAAGAAGTGTAAATTAAGTTGACAAGACAAGATCGCGTAAGCAGAGCTATTACTAAGTGTGAGGCGACGTGAGTCTTGAAATGCGTAACTTGCAGACGAAATTCCTCGAGAACAAGAATCAGGCAACACACGTAGCAAGTACAGAAGAATATCGCATCGCATACCTGCAAGATGGTGGGATTGCACGTGCCGCAGCAGCCATATCCGTTGCAAGGCGCTCTTGAATGCTCTCCTTTGTTATTATGTACGAGCCTGCGTGCAGGTGGATGTGTGTGTCAGTAAAATTAGATGATCGCAGAGGGGACAGGTTGGAATGAGCTGAAAAAAGTGTAGCAGCAAGAGGTGATGCATACAGTTTATATACAGAGAAAACAACAAAAAGAAACGAGGGGGTGTGAGAAAAAAAAACGCGCAAGCGAAAGAGCAAGGAAGTGAAAAACACGCAGGCAGTAGAGGCCAGCGGCGTGATACGTGTGTACGCACCATATTTGTCCTGCTGAGTTAGCTGCCCCTCTTTCTCAAGCTTGGCCATTCCCTCCTCCCCAAATCGCTCCCTGATGCCCCTTGAGAGGTCATAGCGGCCGCTGACATTGATGACCTTGGGCATGTATTTGTACAAGGAGGCATACAACACCACACAGTTGCCACCTGAACATGTGCGTGCATGTGTGTGTGTGTGTTTGTGTTAGAGAGAGAGAGAAGAGAGATCGAGAAGAGATCGGGGAAAACTGCTGCCACTGGTTATACGTTGATTTCAAGAGCAGCCTTCAGCTCACCCCCCTTTCATCACCCCCGACTGAACCAACAAGCGGAACGCAACAGCTCTTCCTTCATCTCCCTTATCCCCGCAGCACCTTTGCTGTGCCCAATGACCGCCTCCACATGCCTGCCCTGCGCCCTCACCCACTCCACCACGGACTGCAGATCAGCTGCCTCGTGGCGGTAGTTGCCCGTTGCGAACGCGCCCTCGCTGTCACTGCCTCATAGCGCGGGAGAGGCATAGTGTGGGAGAGGGAGGTGAGGAGGCTTTGGATTCGACTCAATATTGCCTTGGCGCAAGGCATGGAGGAGGCACAGCGAGGGGGGGATGGTGCTCATGGGCTGGTGGGGAGCGATGGGAGAGGAGGAGGCACACTGGGCAAGCGCAGGGGGAGCGTCGGGGACGAGCAGCAACGTGTGTGTGTGTGTGTGCGCGCGCGCGCGTCTAAATCTGTGCATAGTTGCGAATGCGCAGAGCATGAGCGCCCCTCACCCGTTGCCGGAGAAGTCGAATCGCACAGTGGCGAATCCTGCGGCCAGGATCGCATCCGACAGCTTCTGCACCGTGGAGCTCAGCTGTCGGTCAGCCACCGCCACACACGGCACGCGCGACGAGAAAGCGGTCGAATTGGCGGGAAATGGAAGAGGGGGAGAGAGCCAAGGGAGAAAAGGGTGGGGGAGGGGGGAAAGAGGAAGGAAGAGGAGGTGGGGAGGGGGATTGCGGGGTGAAGGGATTGGGGAAAGAGAATGCGACTATTGGGGTAGACTATTGATCTGGCGCGGGTAAACAAGTGCGAGGGCAAGCGTGAGTGGGCCGAGGAGAGAGAGGAGAGTGCGCATGATGGAATTTCTTTCAGCATATCGCACCTTAGTAGACCGGAATCCATGACAGATGATCACCACTTTCGCGCTGCCATCCGCGACGATGCGATCGCCGCCATTCGCGCTTTCACGGATCGCACCTTCCGGGAGCGTCGCATCGGGGAGAGCCGCGCTCGGCTCCACGAGAAACGCGGAGAGCTTGCTGCCGTCGTCGTTAGTTAATGTAAAGCGGACGGCACGCTCCGGCACAGTTGCCGGCGGCTGAGAGTCCGCAGCAGACATTCCGGGAAACGCGGGGGATTGAGACGAGGATGGGGAGGAGGAGGAGGAGGAGGTTGCGGCAATGCGAGACTGTCGGGAGTTGCGGCGAGGACACGCGTACGAGAATGCAAGACGTTTCAGCTGTGGCGATGGATGAGCGAATGCGACACCTGAACGAAGTTCAGGTAACCTGTGGTGATTCTGATTAGCTGTGACACCCGGCGCAATGCTGCTGACTGCGGACGACGACGGAGAGAGATCAAGCTTCGATGCGGATGCTACGGAAATGGCATCAAATGGTAGAAGAGTGGACATTAGGAAAGATCACAGTCCCCTCTGATGGCGGCGGAATATGCGGAGAAGCGATCGAAAGTTGGACCTGATAAGGGGTTGCAAGGAGCCGAAGAAGTAATCACACATATTTCTTTTTATGTTAACTGATCTGTAGAAATTGTAGAACCATTTCTTGAATCCCTCACAACGCGATATTCGTTCAAGAACCCAACCCCACGTTGAACCCTAGTGATCCCTCTAGAACGCCATGGCCGATATAACTTACGAATTAGTGAGGTGAACTAGTGATATGACGAGCAAGATTTGCGAGTGGATGACATCGAGAGCAATAGGGCCAGGTGGAATGGGAAGATTTGAAGGTGTTTTAGGAGGTTAACGTTGGCAGGTGGAAGAAAATTTTGCGGTTTTGTTGGGTTTACCCTTCGCGGGCTTACTCCGAGTAAGCGAGGCTTACTCTCCCAACAAGCCAGAGTTAGTGGAGTTCCGCCGCGTAACTCAGTTTGCCCGTGAATGAACCTTCCTGTATGGCCACTTCGAGACGTACTCCGAGTTAGGAGTTGGGGCGATCGTTTGCCCCTTCTGAGTTACTCGGAGTAAGACACGTCGGATTGAGTGAGCTTCCGTCACACGTGCAAAGCCGGAGTCTGTAAACTGCGTCGAAGCTCACTTACCCCGCTTAAGGGTGCTACCGATCAGGGCCCTGGTGGGCTGTTCTGTTGCCCAGCGGCAATGGAGGGCGGACACCACAGCTCAGCACCACTGGTGCGGCTGAGTGCTTCCGCGAAACCTGGAGCCCCCTGAGGGTGATATTTTTGTTGCCCAGCTCACTCCCTTCCATCGTTGGCAGCAATGTCGTAATCAGACCATGTGCGACATCATTTCATCATCTCGGTCGCAGGCGTGTTTATCGCAACCATCATGACACTCGCCCACCGACAACTAGACGCACTGACTGAAATTCATCGACTTGCCCATCGCATCGCATTGCCCAACCACCCTAGTCGCATTCCGAACAACGTTCATTTTTCATACCGCGTCAGCTCAGCATTTCGCGTCAGTGCTTGGCACTGTTCCTCTCAAACCACCTCCAATGATCCTTCCCTCCCCAAACCCACGCGTCGCTAACACTGTTGCTTTAAAACGCATGTCGCATGGTCTCGCACAGACGACGCTGCAAGGGTGAGGCGAATCTGCTGCACTCTTCCGTGCCGTGCAGTTAGCCTTTCGAATCGCGTCATGCCGTCGTCAACATCCGAGCCGACGCGCGAGAGCGAAACTCAGTTGCTACGGATGGGACCGACGAAAAACGAAATGCACTGATGAAATCAAGTCCATCTGCGGGCGACTCGCTGGCAGAAGATGTGGTGGAAGTCGCAGGACACAAAAATGTTTATCCTTTCGCCCTGGGGGCGACGTCAGGTTGAACTACTTTTTGTACGCCCTCTCCGGTACATTTCGTTTCAACACGGTGCAGAGCGGTAATCGTCGCGAAACGCTTGTCACCGTGTTGGACCGTCCTGAACCACGATACAGGAACTGTGAGTGCTTGTGAAATGGATAACCTGACGTCGCCTGCACGGACGTCGCTCTACCAGCATTCGTTCTGCTCTGCGACCCACGCTGCCCACTTTCCAGCACACTCACACACCCGCTCAACGACCCAGTCCTTTTCCAGCACTGACCTGACCTTCCATTGCATTCTGCCCAGCACCACCCACCCACCCCACCCCCCGGGACGCAGTGGATTTTGGCCACAAAGACTAACGAAGCCTAAAACGGGTCCCAGACGGTGTGGTTACTTTCAGAATGTTCTAATGCGTTACGTCGCGGTTTGTCTATCTTGTTCAACAGCACAGAAGCCTCCATCAGCCCGTTGTCATTCCCCTCCTCTCCTCACGCCATCCTTTCAAGGACACAGCAGCATGGTGGTGCCCTCCCACACCTCTACACTGTTCCCCTCAACCTACCACCACCACACGCAGCCCGGAGGTCCTCGCTCTGCTCTCTCAACTCCAATACATAGCCCGTGTCTCTCGCTGCAAGCTAGAATTGGCCCAGCATTCTTTCCTACTCCATTCTAGCAGTCAACATCACTGTCTTGTTCTACAATCTCTCTTTTCACTCCGCCGCATCGCAGCACACCCCCCCCCCCCCCCCCGCCCCACTTCGACAGCCATGTTTTTAGACTCCGAGCGTCCGCTCTTCACATCCCCTCCTCCTGGTGTTTGCTCGCCGCCGCGCATGCCGGTATCCCCGCAATTGGCTGCCTCGATGTCTGGGTCAGCGCCAATGTTGATGGACCATATGTCCCCGCCGTCGTTCTATGACGGGCGATTCGACTCGTGTTACGCCGGCCCGTGCCCCCCGGGATTGCCGCTGGCGGGTTCCCCTTCCCCGTCGCTGCTGGACTCCCCGCCTCCCCCCAATCCCGTCCACTATTACGCGCAGCCGCGCCCGCCAATGCACCTTCCGCCTAGCGCGCACAACGGCATGGCGCAAATGCATCCGCAAATACCTCACCATCTCCCGCCGAGCGCGCACGAGATGGCAGCCGCGCAGGGAATGCCTGCGCTCTTGCCGCAGCTGAAAGGAGTGTCCGGATATTGCGGCGGGGATCTCTGCGATTTAGAGGACCCTTCGTACTACTCAACGCTATTGTACCGACCGGACCAGCAAGTCGTGGTGCTCACCTCGCGGATTAAGGTGCGGCGCGTTACCTCCCGTCGACCCCTTCGCCCTCGCCCCCTCGCGCCCTCGTGCCCTCGCCCCTTCGCCCCTCGCCCCCCCCCTCGCGCACTGGCCCCCCGCCTATTCCCCCCCTCGACCTCTCGCCCCCTGAGCTCCCTCTTTCCGCCATTTGACTCCTTACTCACTTCTCAGACTCGCCGCTTCTCCTCGTTCCTGTGTTGAAGCACATAACCTCTTCTGCGTAACGCCATCCGTTCACCCGCCTGTGCCCCCGCGTGTCGGAAAGATATCCGTAATCTCCAGTTGCCACCCCTCTCTTGTCTCGCCCAGCTCTCAACCCCCTTGTTCGCCCATTCGTCTTCTATCCCTCCTCCCTCTCTCCCTCCCTCTCCCCCTCCTACCCTCCTGCCCTCCCTTCTCACTCTCTTCCTCTCGTTCTTGTCGCCATGGCAGGACAAGGTATCGGCGCAGGAGAAGACGCGGTGGTTGGACCAGCAGCTATCGTACCGCCAGTGCCCCTACCCCATTCGACACATCGAGTTCACTCACTCGGGCGATGCCGGTGCGCTCCCCTGCTTGCCCGCCTGCTTGCCCGCCTGCTTGCCCGCCTGCTTGCCCCCCTGCCTCTCCTGCGCGCATTCACGCGCTCGTTCGTCGCCGTCCGCTTACCCCTCGCGCTTCTCCTTTCCGCCCTCCACGAGCATCCCGCTCGTGTGCTCCCGCCCTCCCCATTCCGCCGTTCCGTCCCCATTCTCCTCCCACGTCAACGTTCTCCTCGACTACCTGTTGTTGAGGTGCCTAAGAAGGTTCCTAAGAAGGTGCCTAAAACGTCAACGTTCTCCCCGTTTCTCATTGTGTGGTTCCTGTCCCTTGGTCCTCCCCACAGTCATCGAATTCGTGTCCAACGTCGCAATGGCCAAGTCGCTGCAGCAATCGTCGCTCAAGTGGGGTCGCCCGGCGACGCAGGACGTCGCCACACGGCCGTGCACGGAGGATGACATTCGCGCGCTCTTCTGGGTGGGAGTGGCGGCGACTGGCGCGACGAGCGCGTCGCTGATGGAGCTGCTGCCGCAAGTCCGACAGGTGAGCGCGTCTCGGGGCGCGGTGAGGACGAGTGACACTGGGACAGTGCGGGCGAAGGCAACGGGAGAAGGGGAAGGGGTGGGGTGGGGTGTGGGGGAAGTGTAGGGGGGAGGTGAGGGGATTCGGGGGAAGGGACGGGAACGGGCGGACGAGGGAAGGAGGGTAAACGATGGATGTGGAACTCGAGCGAAGACTAGGAGCAGCAGCAGTGGTAGTTCATTCGGAACTACAAGGCATTTTCTTCGCACGCCAACTCTCTCCTTCATGACACTCACTTCCGTCACTCCCTTCCTCCACCCCTCCGTCTCGCCCTCCGTAACAGGCCTTGCAGCAATACGGCGAAGTGAGAGGCGAGTACGCGCCGCACCCTTCTTCCTCCTCGGACGCCAACACTCCGCCGCACCTGCGCGCCCCTCCGCCGTCCATGCTCAAACTCTATTTTGCGCCGTCTGGCCGCCGCCGCCTCCCGCCGTCCATCCACGTGTCGCGGCCTGATAGGTGAGCTCGCGGGTGGCAGGGGCGAGGTTTCCGTGCCAGAATTAGGGGACCTCGGGAGAGGGCTGATGACTGTTGCAGTTTGATCACCATTTGAGTGAGTATGGACCTGCATTCACGAGTTGTACGTTTACTCCTTCCCTGGACCTATCCTTTGCTTACTCACTCCAACTCATTTCCACCTCGCTCTCTCTCTCTCATCTCATTCGCTGTGTCCCTCGCCAGGCCCAAGGGATTCCCTCCCATGGTAGCTCGCGTGTTCACGCCTCACGGGCACGGCCCGCTGGCAGTCAAGTGCGCTGACTTTGGCCCCTTCCACTCGGAGTACGGCTGCCCTGACTGCTGTAGCCGCCACTTCAACGGCTGGGGCGCCTAGCCGTCAGGGCAAAAGCAGCATCTGCAGCGGAACGACAGCGGCAGCAGCAGGGCGACGGCTTACAGCAGCCAGAGACAGCGAAACGAGGCATTAGCAAGGTAGCACTAGAGTAGCAGAAGTTTACTCTGCCAATGGATCACAAACGCCTGATTGACCTTGCGACTCTACACAGCACTGACCAGGGAAGAAGCACCCCTTGGGGTGCGGCGCAAGCAAGGATAGCTCTAGCTCCACCACTCGCCTACCCTGCCTCCAGACAAGACAGCCCATCCGTGTGTAACGTTGAGTGTGGGTGGGTGGAAGGGAGGGTGGCGTCTACTTACCTAACACATGGGCCTGCCACTATACTGAAGTTTTGAGGATTCAGTTCTGCTGGCTATTATAATGGCAGCTAGCTGCATGGATGGAGTAGTGATGCCGGGTGAGTAGGGTTTAGCGTGATTATCGCTGGCTTGTGGCCGGCACACCATGCATGGTGATCGAAAGGAGTCGTGCATGTTTGAAGGATAGCAGCCTGGTGTATCAGGTTTTGCTGTGGCTACTGGTTTGTGCCAAGCAAGTTGTGTTGCAGCTGGTGTTGCATTGCATCTGATATTGCACTGCATGTGCAGTGTGTAGGTTCGGCTGGGTTTCTTTTTGCTTTTCTTTATTCTCCTGTTCACTATTAGCTTGCTTCTTGAGTTGCGTTGCGAAATGCATTCTTAATCTATAGATGAATGGATCTGGTAGAAACTAACCGAACGGTTTTTGTAGTAGCCTCACAATGTGGTGTGAAACTGACAGTGTTCTCAGGGCATGATTGGAAGAGGCAAACAATTTCTCTCATGGCATTTCCCTGCAGAAGGGAAGAATGCCGCACATACAGCAGTGGCAAAAACTGTCCAAAGGCAAAACAAAATACGCGGCCCACACTCAAAACTAGCATGAATTTGATGTTTCTGTTACAGGCAAGCAGGACCAAGCAGAATCATGCATTGTTCTTGCCTTCTGTAGACTGTACATGTTTATGCGTATTTCATTATGAATGGTATACTTTGTAACATTATGAACTTCGTTAAAGGGGTCATCAATACGATCCCACACTCTGGTGGAGCTCCCCAATGTGCGGTAGTGCACCGAGCACGTGGTCCCTTCAAGTAATGCCACCCCTTGACTTCAGCGTGGTTATCGGTGAGTCCGACCTGCTGACCTCATGTCACGATGACTGCTGCCGAGGGAACTCGCCACCTAGGAAAGTTATCTCTATTCAAGAGCCAATCGGATGATCGATTTCCACGTAGGGCGGATGAGGATCGCTCCCTCCAACCAAGTCTCTGGAAGCCGCTTGGGACGTCGCGGTTGGATGGGTCACTTCCACACAATCCTGGGTACAGCGGCAGTACCCCACAGATTGAGGGAGGTTGTTGCGGATGTCTGTATCTGCTGTTGAACCACGCCACGCCACCAACACGAAAGGAATGGATCACACGACACGGAATTCCCTAAAGTAAAACTGTTTCCGAATTACTGTAGATGGAGTTCTTCCACCTCCGTTCACGCACACCATTGGCTGAGGAGATTTTCGTCCTGCCAAACATTGCTTTTTGGATAGAAGCCCAAGGTCTTCGGCATCTTGCAAGGAAACGATGTTCACTGTTCTGTTTGACAAATCCTGGGGGGCTGAACTGAACTGGCCCTTCTCATTCCGGGAGACGGTTGCAATGCAAACACTGGTTGCGCTGCGCGTCGTCCCCATCCGTATGAACCACATAGGGGCTATAATCATGGGCCATTTTCAGGTGCAATCCCAACAGTACGGAAAATGTATTCAGGTAGGAGCCCGGCGAATTATTCCAGGTTTCTGTTGCGCACTGTACACACGTGCCGGAACAGAGCCTTGAAAAGTTGCGCCACTCAAATTGTACTCGCTGAGGGAAATTAATGCGAAATTAATGCGCTCACACACGCTTCGTTTACCGACGCTACCAGAAAGTGCTAAGACCTACCCCGAAAACAAAAACTAAAAGCTTTACTGACCCCGGACGCATTTTTCGGAGTCACCCCTAAACACGGGAAACTTGCTGGTGTTTAGGGTAATGCCTCCGTTATGTTTTCGTGAGAAAAACATAAAACCCAATCGGAAAGAAATCGAATCGGCAGGCATCAACCCTAAACACCAGATGGGTTCCCGTGTTTAGGGTTGATCCCTCCCGAAACTGCTTCCAGGTTCTTTAGGGGTTTTATTTTGTTTTTTTTCGGGTGGCCTTAACAGCTTCGGGTAGTTTGGTCTGGCCATATTGTATATTTGACTTCCGTCAGAATGTGTCAGAGACAATAAAATCTGTCAGCTGAACAAGATGTGAGTGGCGAGTCTGCACAAGGCACTATTGCGGCACGTGTGTACAGTGCCGTAACAGTGCCGTAACAAATTGGGCTCCCACCTGAACACATTTCCCGCACTGTTGGGATTGCACCTGAAAATGGCCCCTATAATCATCCCTTCTAGCCCAAACCGAAACCTATTACGCAACACACGTTTGGCTCGTAAGTAACTCTGCCGAACCTTGATCGGCTCATACAGGCACGCACCTTCCAAACGAACCTCCAGAGCCTCGTTTCGGGCCAGTCGGACATGACCAAGGTTCCAAACCTCCTGGTTCGTTTCCGCCTTGAGATTAGTTTTCCCTCAAGCGAACCCCTGGGCCGGTGTGGTAGGGGTTTGAAACAGCAGTGGCAGGCAGGGGACCCCTTCACTGGCATTCATCTGGGTTCCATTCCATCCAAGCCTTTTCCCTCCACATTTGGGCCCTGTTCGGCTGCACAAAAAGCCATCAGAACCAAACAGATACCAGCCGCAAACAGAACAAATCAAACAGTGATTGAAGGCTCGACACTCCTGCTGACTCATGCTGATGTGTGAAACTCCCCTACGATTGGTCGCACATCCGAACGTATTTCCCAACCAGTTTCATTTTCGTTTTAAGGGACCAGCCCCAACCAACAAGATGTGCACAGTATTTCACGGGCAAATCGATGTTCATTGCCGGTTGGCTTCCTGTCCAGTGCTGATCCTGGTTTTGACGTGGGTGAGAACGGTTGTGAGAGTTATGCAGAGAGCCTATTGGCCAGAGCACAAAATGTGCTCCTTCCTGGAATGTTTCGCCCAGGTTCCTCGAAGCGAGGAACCGGTGATTATGGTTGTTGGGTTTGGAGATTGGCTGTCTGGGGTGTTGTCTGTTGTGTGCAACAAGCGGGAGCAGTCCCACGTTTGTGCGTCTGGTTGCACATCTGGAAGAGTAGAACAGTACCCCACGTTAATTTTGTTTTGTAGTAAGCCTAGCTTCGGACCGAGGCTGGCTTGTCGTTCAGGTTTGTTGTGTTGTTGGTCAGATGAGCTTGGCAGCCAAAGTGCAGCCGAACAGGGCCTTGTTTCTCAGAATTCGGTCAGGATGTAGATTGACATTGCAGCATCTCTGTTCGGCTCGCACATATTTGAGCTTTCTACTTCGATCAACCTACTTTTCGTCGCGAGCAGGCTGCGTGCCGTATTCGTGCCTTTGCTTTCCTCTGCGTCTATCACGACGCAATGGCTCTTCATGCCAGCCTGGCGACACCTGCTCCACCAGCCGCCTCAATATGGTCCCCAGATTGCATGTGGTACGCGATGCATCTCACATTCTACTCTTTAGAAGACCTCCGCAGATACTTAGCAACCCTCAGACCAGCTTAACGAATTCAAGGGATGCGAGTATTTCTCAGATACGGTTCTTAACGCTCGTCTCGGAGAATCCCTGGCCTGAACGAGCTTCCTGGTCTGGGTTATGCGTTTCCTGTTTCCGAGAACAACCTGTCTTCTGTCATTCGTGAGTGCTTTCGTCTTCTTATCAGCATTCTTTCATCCTAATCTCTCCCATCACCTTTCCCATCCCGCAGTGAGCCCTGGGAGCTCCTGGCCGTCGACTTCGGGACCGTCTCAGGGCAAACCTTCGACGAAGAAAGCCTCAGCAGCGGCGACAGCGAGAGCGTTCGCACAGAAACCGACTGCAGCGGCGCGGAGGACGATGTTGACGACTTTCCTATGGATCCAGCGGAGGTTACGTCGGAAAGGGGAAAAAACAGTATTATTCTCCAGGTGCAGCCGTGTTCCAAGCCCATTGCCGACAAGGTTCAGGGTGTAGAGGAGCCGACGGTGGTGGTGACTAGGCCAGTTGAGCCATTGGAAACTGTGGGGATGAAGGAAAAGACTCCTTTGACTGGTAGCCCAGGCGATAATGCTTGTGAGCAGGATGGGCCAGAAAGTTCTGCCGCAGCCGCATCAGCTGTCGACGTCCTCCCTCAATACGTGTAAGTTTGTCGGGACACCCCCTTGTGTCTGTGTGTGTTTTGTATTTCATCTACCATGCATGGTCGAGGCTGAGGGTTTACGCACCTGGCACGGTTGGCATGCAGGTACAGCCGTAGGAGACCGAGAGCTGGCCTCCACGCCGTAGCAGAAGAAGGATTCGCTGCCTCCTTTGCGTATACCGCGACTGCTTGTAACGCACCCGTGTCGGTCAGGCCGGCGCTACCCCACCCGAGAGCGCCACAGGCTTACGCGCTAGGCGGTATTAGCACTTCGGTTATCCCGACGGACGTCTCGTCTCAGGCGCAAGGGCAGTGCGCTCGCGCCATCCAATGGCCCGCAGTGACTGCGGGTCCCGCGAACGTGGAAGCGGCTGACGTGGCAGTAAAGGAGGAGGTAGCTGGGGGGGCAGCAGCAGCCGCGGGGGGAAAGGGGAAGGAGAAGCGGTGGGGTTACAAGCGGCCGTTCTGCCAAGTGACTCTTCAGCTGGAGGAGATCGAGCAGGTGGGTCATCTTCATGCGATGAGGGGCTTGTGTCATACTTTTTGCCTCTTGCGGCACTGAGGCGTTTTAGGTATGTCGGGGGTCAGAGGAGGTGTTAGGGTTTAACGCCGCAATGAAGGAGAGCGGTCTGTAGCCCATGGAAAGCGTGGGAATGGGTTGCAAAGCGGTGCACGGACGGAGAGGGCAAGGGGGAAAGGGGAGAGGGGGAGAGGTTTAACGCGTGGCCTGCTTGTAAGGTCAATAGAGGTGAAGGGAAAGCGTAGATGGGTGGGCGGTTAGTGGGAGCAAGGGTGGTGAGGCTGGGTAACCTTTTATGGTTAAGAGTCCTCTGAAGTTGCAGATTCGGAATCTTGGTTCATTCATGGCAGCACCTAGTGAGTCCTCCCTGCGTTTCTTCCCTCTCCAACCCGTCGGCCTGCCTCGCACTTGTCAGCAGGACATCTCGCTCATATCGTGCGCGAAGAGGCGACGGCGGCAGCAGCAGCAGCAGCAGCAGCAGCTGCAACATCATCATCATCAGCAGCAGCAGCTGCAGCAGCAGCAGTACGTGAAGGAGCAGCGGCAGCGGCATGGAAAGTATGCATATGCAGGAGTGGGGGGTCGGCGAGAGGACGACGCCGCTGCTGTTGATGACGACGGTGAAATGAGCGACCTCCAACGATGCGCCATCCTGCTGCTGCGCCTGAGGAACCACAGGTCCGTGCCGTGGTTGAACTACAAGGGCTGGCTGGTGGGTTTCAGTGTAGATTTGCTTGTCTCTTGGTCGTCTCGTGGTTGTCTCCATGGTGGTGGACTGGTGGTCGTGTTCGTGGGCAGTGCTGCGTACGTGCAGTTGACAGCTTAGGGTTGTTAAGCCACAGAACCAAGGAGCGTAGCGTAGCTATGCTCGCATGACTTGTATTCGCTCGTCCCCTTGTCGCCTCCGTAGCCCTTTCCGCTCGACCAAGACGCGCCACCCGTTTGGGATACCGCTGCTGGTGCCTCACTGCGTGTGGTGCCTCCTTCCCGCCCTTGTTTTCGTTCACCGATGACCAGCATTGGGGGTTTCTTCAGTTCGCCAGTGGCGTCCTCGGATCTCTGGCCGGAAGACGCCAGACGCTGCTATGCTGCCACGGTCGACCGCCCAACAGACCTCTCCGTCATACAGGTCTCTCTCTCCACCCCATCCCCATCCCATCCCCACCCTGTTGCTTTTCTTTCCTGCTGTTGCGTCTCTCTCCCTCTGGCCTCCCGTCCCCGCCTCCCCTGGTTGACAAATCCGCACCCTCCTGTCAATGTTTCGTGCTCACTCAAGGCTGGCGGCCATATCCCCACTGCTTCGTGCACACCACCATCCGATCTTCTACACACCTCAGCACCTCACTAACACGTCCCGCCCATCCTCCTCCACATGCTGTACAGTACTTCGCTCAAAATCCCCACTACCAAAATTCCCATTACCAGGCGCGCCTGAGCTCGGGGTACTACGCGGACCCGCCATCGTTCGTGGACGACGTGCGCGCTGTGTTCGCCGATGCCACGCGCTGCCTCCCTGCCGGATACTGCCTCCGGGTAAGCTGCCAGGCTCGCGCCACTTGCTGCTTCCCTCCTGCCAGCACATCTTGAAATGTCTCCAAATGTCTAGAAATGTCTCTGATGTCTCGAAAATGCCTCAAAATTTGAGTTTGCTGTTATCCTTGTGTTTTGCGCCGGTTCCTTCTGTTGCTGCTCCTGGGAAGGCGTGTGCTGTGTTCATCTAGACATTCATGCCTTTTGTTTGCCACCAGACACACTTTTTGTCAAAAGAAATAAAAACCCTAAGCCCTCTACCTCTGTTTTCTTGCAATACATCTGTCCTTTATACAGGCGCATGCCCTGACGTTGTGGCAGATGTTCGAGGCGGATGTGGGGCACTTCCGCATCACAGCCCCCGCTGTCCTCTCTCTGTTGCTGCTTGACACTCCCCTCCCTGGAACGGACACTTCTCTTTGCTCCACTGCCACCGCTGCCACCGCGGCCACTGCTGCGCTTCACGCCCCTTCCACCATCGCCACCGCCACTACTGCTGCCATTGCGTCTTCTTCTCCGTCCTCTTCTCATCCCCCTCCTGCTTCCGCTGCTGCTGCTTCTTCCGTGGCCGCTTCAGCCAGCCTTCCCGGCCGTGATGCCCCTCCGCGGCCGCCCATACAGACGCTCGCGTGCGCGCCCCCCTGCCAGCATCTATCAGCGCGCTTCTTCTCCCACCACTCGTGCGAGCCAGACCCGCCCGTAGATCTAGAGGGCGTTCGTCTTCTAGACGTGGACCCGCAGGCGTGCTTACAGTCGTCGCACAGCGATTCTGGCGGCGACTTAAGTGGCGGCGACCTAAGTGGTAGCGACTCACGTGGTACTGGGGAGGTCGGGGGGGAGGGGAAGAGGGAGGGGGATGAGGAGGGGGAGAGCGACGAGGTACGGACGGGAAGCGGCGGGGTGGCAAGGGGGAATCGCGGGTCATCGTGGCAATGGGAGGAGGGTGAGACGAAGGGGAGCGGGAGAGGGCAGGAGGAGAGGAGGAGACGTGCGATGGTGTGGGTGGGAGGAGGTGGTGGGAGGAAGGGCGGCAGGGGCGAGCGGCTGGTGTTGCTGCCTCAGAAGAGGCGGACGAGGAGGGAGAAGGGGCGAAGGAGGGGCGTGGATGGGTGGGATGTGGCGGGCGCGGAGGAGGCGGTGGTGGGGAAGGGTGCGGGGAGGGGATGTGCAAGGGCGCGAGTGCATTCTGTGGCAGGGCAGCTGAAAGGGAGGCAGATGTTAGCTTGGCTGTCGCTGGCTGAACGGGCTGGTTTTGACGGTGGGAGGCGGGCGAGGGTGGGACGGGAAGAGGAGGCAAAGGTAGGGGTGGAAACAGTCAAGGTGGAGGCTGGGGAGGGCAGGGACGGGGATGGGGATTGTCGAGGGTTCTGGGTTTTGGGGAAGGAGGGTGGTCTTGTGAAGGAGGAGGGTGTGGGTTTAGCAGAGGCAGACACAGGTGTGGAGATGCCGCGGTGTGGTGTAGCAGGAAGGGAACATGCTGGTTCGGGCACGGAGCAGCAGCATTGCGAGATACTGCTGGAGCAGACGCGCAAGGGTGAGACGCAGCCAACAGCAGGGGATTTAGAAGGGTTTAACGCGCCAGACGGATACGCCAAGGCGGAAGCAGAAGGCACAGGGGAGACAAGCGCGGGGCGTGAAGGGAGCTGCAGGCGAGATGCAGGGCCTGAGCAAGAAGAAGCGTTGACGCATCACAAATCTATCAAACGAGAGGCTGTTGAGTGCCGTGATGCGTTTGCTGGTAGAGATAAAGCAAGTAGGGAGGGGAAACGACTGGTGCCAAGTGTGCAGCAGCGTCAGCATGCTGGGTATTCCCAAGGAGCAGGAGGTGAAGAGGAGGGGCCGTTAAGCCTGGCGTTGTTACCTCCTGAGGCATTATCGGATGCCGAGGCAATGTGTGCTGCTGGGGCGCTGGTTCCTTCTGAACCCAGAAGCTGCGTAGCTGCTGTGGCCACTTGTGCGGCTGCCAGTTTGAGTGCTGTGATCATTTGCTCTGCTGGTCCTGACGATGCTGCCAATACAGCACCAACGGCAGCAGCACCAGCAGCAGCAGCAGCAGCAGCAGCAGCAGCAGCAGCAGCAGCAGCAGCAGCAGCAGCAGCAGGGGCGGGGACGGCAGGGCCGTCAGCAGCAGCAACGGCAGCATTGTCTTGTGAGACAGATGCAGTGGCGGTTGGGCCAGTGGTGGTAGCGCAGATGTGTGTGGTTGGGGGGACACAAGAGGTACAAGGCGAACAGGACAAGCAGGGAGAGCAGAGCGAACAAGGGCGTGCAGCAGCAGTTCTGCCTGCGGGCCTTCCTCTTGTGGGCAAAGTCCTGGGCGACGTTATGGGCGACAATGTGGGCCACAGTGTGGGCGACGTTGCTGTTGAGTGTCAGCAGTCGCTTGTGCCTCTGCAGTCCGCACAGGAGCTTGTTATGGAGAAGATGCGCCAGCACTCCCTGGCTCGTGACGCCTCTGCTGCTCTGGAGGTCCGGGGTTGCGCTGCTGCTTCTTTTGATGCTGCTACCATAGGCGATGGTGTGGGAGTGGGAGTTGGAGAGGGAGAGGGAAAAGGGGATGGGGAGGGGGAGGGGGAGGGGGCCCGGGAAGGGGGCGCGATTCAGCGGTTTTGCTGTGGGGATGGTGCGGGGTGCGTGGATGTAGACGTGGGGATAGTTGGCGTGGTGGGCTGTGACGGTGGGGAGATGGGCGAGGAAGGGCAATCAGTGCAGGTGCAGGTGGTGCTTGAATTCGCTCTGGAGGATTGCAGCGGCGTGGGACTGGAGCAGCAGCACCTGCAGGAGTACGTGCAGGGGCAGCAGCAGGGGCAGCAGCAGAAGCAGGAGGAGGAGCGAGAGCAGGAACAGCAGCAGTTGCTGTGGGGCACAGGGCCGGAGTGTACTGTTCTGAGTGTGCAGGGGGGAGGTGTGGACGTGGAGGGGTTTTTTGGTGGGGAATCTGGGAGTGGGGGTGTAGAGTTGGCATTATTGGAACAGAGCGAGGACTTGGGTAGCATGAGGCAGCACCATGACGACGTGTGTACACAGCAGGGGGACAAGGCAATCCCTATGGAATGTGACTATGGCAAGAGCAGCGTGAGGAGTGAGAGCAAGTGTGGCAACGTAGAGGGGGGTGGCGAGGGAGGGAGAGAGGGGGACGTGGGCTCCTGTGCTCGTGCGCTGCCGTGTGGACCCAGGCAGAGTGCACTCAAAGCACTCGGGAGCACGCCTGGGATGGTCAAGAGTGTGGAGTCCGGATGGGAGGAGAAAGGCAAGGCCGACAGGATGAAAACAAGGTGTTTAGAACCCCTGCAGTGCTGTTTTCAAGGAGGGGATTCTGTGGTGGCTGGGAGCTCTGGTATGGTTGGGACCTCTGGGGTTGCTGATGCTGCTTGTGAGGGTGGGATTATGGGTGAGAAGTGTGGAGTGGATGGGGCTGCTGGGTTGGCCGGGTTGTTTGCTCTGAGTGCGGCTGTTGAGGTGGCGCTATGGGACTCCGACGATGCCGTGACGGCCAGTCATGCCATGCACGAGCATGTGAGTCAACTGACACTGGCACATGCACATACACATGCACCTACGCATGCTCATGCACCTGCGCATGCTCATGCACCTGCGCATGCGCCTGTACCTGCGCTTGAGTGGGCGCGTGTGGAGGAGGCAGCAGAAGCAGCAGCACAGACGCATGAGCGTGCGGGTGCACATGAGCCATTTGTGGGACCTTTGGAGGAGGGGGGCAGGGGCGGAGGGGCACTTGTGCATGGGTTGCCTGCGAGCAGGCTTGCTTCTAGAATGGCGGATGGGTCTCTTCCAGACCAGCAGACTGAGTGCAATTGTGCCCACGGGCTAGCTGAAGCGGGGGAAGCAGGGGAAGAGGTGGAAGCAAGCCAGTGTGTGGTTAGCCTGAGCAGCACGGGCCTACACAAGGGGAAATCCGGTGGAGAGGGGTGTGCAGCAGTGACGGTCCACGGAGGAGAGAGGTCGGGAGGCATAAGAGGAAGGGAGGAAGGGGAGGTGGTGGGGTCGAGAATGCGAGTGTGGCAGGGCAAGGCGAGGGACTGCAGGGTGCAGGTGCGAGTGGGGTTCTTTCCTGACTCTCGGGGTGGGCCAAGGCGAGAGAATGGTGCGTGGGAGAGAGGGGAGGAGGCTGTGGGAGTGGCGGGGGTGGAGGTTGAAGGTGAGGAAACAGATGGAGTAGCAGCAAGAGCAGCAGCAGGAGCGGGTGCTGTGGTTAGCAAGAGTGGGGTTGCAAGTGGGAGTGATGGCATGTCGAGTGCACGCACCCATGTGCTCATGGCGTGGGGCAAGCAGAAGGGCCGATCAAATGGGCACGCTCTGAAAGGAGTCGACGGAGAGGCAGGAGGAGATGGAAGTCTGATGATGAAGGTGGTGGTGGAAGGGAGTAGAGAAGAGGGCATGTGGGAGGCTTGCAGAGGCGAGGGAGGGACGGGTGCTGCTGCTGCTGAGGCGGAGCAAGGGGATGGGAGGAGAGGAGCGATGGGCGGAGTGGGAGGTTGTGAAGGAGAGTGGGGTGAGGTTGTCCGAGTCAAGGGCGTGGAGAGTGGCAGGCAGGAGGAAGTGCACATGCTACAGAGCCTCAAGGATTTCGTTAGAGATGCAGCTGCAGCAGAAGCAGCAGCAGGAGGAGAAGGAGGAGGAGGAGGAGGAGGAGCAGCAGCAGCAGCAGGAGAAGGAACAGCAGCAGAAGGGGCAGCAATAGGGGGAGGGGCGATTGATCCTGAGGGGAAGGAATTAAGAAGTCAAGTGGATGCGGCAGCACCCCTGGGTATCACCAACATGCATTCAAAAGCGCAGCTGGGGATGCAAGAAGAGTGCATACGTGCAGCAGAGGGCTCTGCTGCCCGCACCAGGCCCTTCCTCCCTGCACAACGGAAGGCAGTAGGCCCAAGGAACCTGATGGCAGGGTTTGGAATAGGTGCGAGTGGGTTCATGGAGGGCTTGGGTAGGAGGCGCAGTGGTGGGAGCATCAGTGAGGGGGAATGTGGGGGAAAGATCGGGGAGGGAGAGTGTGGGGACGGTGAGAGGGGCGGAGCTGATATGGAAGAGGGCAAGGTAGGGGCGGGAGAAGGTTCTGGGGTGGGAATGGGCGTGGGGCGACAGCAAGGGCAGAGTGAGGGTAAGGGAAAGGAGATTGAGGTGGGGAGGGATTCTGCAATGGAAGCTGAGCAGGAGCTGGAGGAGCAGCAGAAGCAGGAGGAGCAGGAGGATGGGGAGCGACAAAAAGAGTGTGGTGATGTGGAGGAGGAAGAGGAGGACGTGTTGCAGTCCCTTCACCTGCTTGCCCTTGCAATCAGCTGTGCTGCCACTGGCACTGTCACCGGCACTGCCACCGGCACTGCCACCCCCGCCGCCCCCTCTGCCAGCAGCAATGATCGCCCCAGCAGTGGCATGGAAGCTGTGGCTTTGCCCACCCCTGCATCTCATGAGTACCCATGCTTGTCCCATGAAGGCGTGGCAGGCCCTGTACGCGTTGCCACCCATGGGGCAATGCATTGGGGGGGGTCATGTGCACGCACCCGCCCTCGATCTTTACACGTCTCTGCCTTGTCCTCTCCTCCTATTCCTCTTGCTGCTGCGCCGCCTGCGTCTGTTGCTGCTGCTCCTGTTGCCGCTGCTGCTGCTCCTACTCCTGCTGGTGCTGCTGCTGCTGCTACCTCAGCAGCGCTAGTGTCTGTGACAGTATCCATGGTTGCAGTGACAGTGGAGGGACCGGAAGCATCGACGGGCGTGGGCACACAGCAGGTGGTGTCCCTTGCAAGCCAGTCTGAGGTGCCCTGTGAAGTCGTCTCCTTCTCCCTCTGCCCCTCTGATCGTCCTCTCATGCACACCGCGCACACTAGCACCAGCACCGCCGGCATCAGCAGGAGCACTACCATTACCACCGCCACTGCCACCGCCACTGCCGCCGCCACTGCCAATGCCACTGCCACGGCTAACACTGGAGGCAGCACGGAGCAGTATCCATCAGGTGTGGCCCATGGCCTGGCGTGCAGTGAGGGAGTGCCGCCACTGACGTGCCTGCAGCTACCCAGCACAGCAGCAGCCATACCAGGGGAAGAGCAGGAGGCAGGGGAGGCAGCAGGGGCAAGGGAAGCAGCAGTGGCAGCAGCTGGGGAGCAGGGTGGCTGTGTGAGCGGGGATGGTTTGGCAGGAGGGGCAGGAGGGGCAGGAAGGGAGTGCATCCGCAGGCAGAGGCTTACCAGGTGGAGAGCAAGTGTCCATGCCACTGAGCAACCCAAATACAGCCCGGTCAATCCCGTGAGTGCTCTTATTTAGTTTGCCAAAGCCACCTCATCCCTCCCCTCCCCGCCCGCCCACCCCCCCATTTTCTTCTTCGTCGCCCCTTCTTCTCGCCCGTTTGTCCCCCTGCTCTTATTCTTCTCATTCCATCTGCCTTGGAGTCGGTCGGGCCTGTTTTCACTGTTCACTTGCAGCTGAGAAGTCGCATCACAGACCTTGCTTGTTGTTGTTGTGTGCTTTGTGCTTGCTGTTGTGTGCTGTGTGGTGTGTGTTGTGTGCAGGTGCATTGCTGGGACGCGGTGTCCTTCATGGAAGGCTGCAGCAACGGAGGCAACAGTCACTAAGCCCCACATTGTATATACGAGGATTTAGAGGTATAGATCAATCGTCTTCGTGGCGGTTTGCTACTTGCAGTGTCCCTCTCCTCCTCCCCCCCCCACCCACAATCCTCCCTTCCTCCCTCCTTTTTTTTTATTTCCCTTATTTTCTTCTTGCGGTCTTGACGCTTCGACACAAGTCAGTTAAGGTGCTCTGGGTGTAGAAATTAACTTCTAGTACTGTACCATGCCGTATATTTGTGGGGTTCCCCTATGTGGATATGTGATATTGTGGTTGACAAGGGTGTCATAACGCTTTGCACAACCCCCTGCTCCTCCAATTCCCTACCCCCCCCGACTTCTGCACTTACTATGCCACCCCCCCCCAACGCATTTCTCCGCCCCCTGGCCCATCCCTGTGCCTCCCACTCTTATGCACATATGTTGGCCCAACCACGTCACACACACTAGCATGCCACCCTTTCAGTTCTGCACCACCTGTACCCCACTGCACGCGTATGCCTCCAGTCCACCCCTCACCCTCCCCTCCCCTTGCCCTCCACTCACACTCTCCCCCTCCCACCGCCCACCGAATATATACCGTACATGTCCTCCTCCCCTCCCAACCTTGCTCAGTGCATGGGGTCTTGATCTAAAGCCTTTTGCACTAAAAGCTCAAGGCCCAAATTGCAGTGCGCGCGGGGCAAGCTTACTAAAGTTGATGAGAGTGGTGTTTTAAGTGTTGTTTGGCTGCGAATTGTGGTTACGTGAAGTGCGATTCAATTTGATTGGCCAACAGTTTTTTGTCGAATAGGAGAGAAGGAAACACCAAGAATATTGTGAGTGCAATTTGGGACTCGAGAACCAAATCGAGTTGCTCCCAGGGGTTTGCTTAGTCAGCAAAAAACCGTAGGGGTGTAGCGAGAAGCTGGGCGAAACTGAACAGCCCAACTTCAACAAGGTCAACCTCTCAAGAGTAGAATGCAACGGAATGAATTGACTAGCAAGGGAATGGGGTACAAATATGTAAACCTAAAAGCTGTACCCCCTAGAAGGCACATCACTACAGCCTATTACAAATAATAACATTTGACACACCCCCATAGGCTAAGTGAGGAGCATCAAAACAAGCAAGGCAGACAAACGGTCACAAGACCAGTCAGCAAGAAGCAAGACAAGCTCAGGGTGGATCTCAAGGACACCACACAAATTCCGAGCGCAAGCAAGCGGCCACAAGGCCAGTTCAAGAGTTCACTAGGATATATATAGGAAAGCACAACAAGCAGAGCAAGCAACAAGACTACAGCAACCGAGGGCCTACATCAACAAGCCCCAACTGCACACAGAACCTGTGGTGGTCACCAAGCGCTAGGGCCTTGGTGAAGACGTCTGCAGTGTTGGCCTCTGAGGCCACAAAGTCCAGGCGTGCCTGGCCGCGTCGCTGCAGCTCTCGCAGGAGGAAGTACCTCACGTCAATGTGCTTCACTCTGCTCTCCAGTCGAGGCTCTCGACAGAGGAGGATCATGGCCTTGTTGTCAGCGTACAAGGTCGGTGCAGAGCGAGGCCGCTCACCAAGGTCGGCGAGCAAGAAGGTCAACCAGCGAAGCTCCTGTGCCGCCATGGCACCAGCGTAGATCTCTGCCTCTGCACTGGAAGTAGCCACAGACGACGACCGTGTAGACCTCCACGACACAGCACCAGCTGAAGCAGTAACCCTGAGTCGAGCGCTGAGTCTCCACGTCGTCAGCGTAGGAAGAGTCGCAGTGACCAGTCAACGCCACTGGCAGAGTCCCTCCAAGCACAAGCCCCATGCCTGATGTAGTCGCCAGGTACTTCGCCACCCTCACAGCAGCTGTCCAGTGGACAGGACGGTGTCTCCCAGTCGCAACAAAGCGAGAAAGGATGCTGAGGGGAAAGGCGAGGTCCGGCCGAGTACAAGTCATCAGGTACATGAGGCAGCCCACCAGCTCTGCGTAGGGACCACTGGACTCAAAGGGCTCGTCGGGAAAGGGGCCAGTGAGTCTGTGGTCAACCGCAAGAGGTGTGGGCTGTGTGGTGGAGAACTGGAAGTCGAACCGCCGAAGGACCTGCTGCACCATGTGTGACTGAGTCAGTGTGATGGTGCGAGCGGCTCTGTCCCTGGTGATCTGCAGGCCAAGGTAGCGCTGCAGTTCACCAAGGTCAGTGCACTTGTGTCTCTTCTGCAGTTCGGACTTCACCTGAGCCAGAGCTGCCCTGTCTGCTGTAGCAAAGATCAAGTCGTCGACGTACACTAGTATAAAGAAAGGAGTGGAACCAGTTCGAACAAACAGCGACGGGTCGGCAGAGGAAGGACAAAACCCAAGGTCACGAAGCGTGGAGCGAAGAGTGTCGTGCCACTCACGGGGCGACTGGCGGAGACCGTAGACTGGCCGCCTCAGGCTCCACTGGGTCCTAGGTGGGAAGGTGTCAGTGAAGCCAGGAGGGCGGCGCAGCCAGATCTCCTCGTGTAGTCGGCCCTGGAGAAACGCAGTGGAGAAGTCAAGGGAGTGCAGCTCGTAGTCTCGCTGTGCTGCTACATGCAGTAACACCCGAAGAGTAGTAATCTTCGAGGTCGGGGCGAAGGTCTGGAAGAAGTCAACTCCCTCACGCTGACTGAAACCCCTAGCCACGTAGCGCGCCTTGAACACAGGCGGTGAACCAGGCGGCCGCTTCACCTTGAAGAGCCACATGCCATCGACTACGTTCGCCCTAGGAGGGGGAACTGCGTCGACGTAGGTGCCTGTGGATCTCCAAGACGCTAACTCCGAGGCCATAGCCGCTTTCCACTGTGAGGCCCACGCCCTTGACACTGCCTCGCGGTAAGTACGAGGAGTCGGTATGTCAAGGGCGTCGGGGTCTCCCTCAGGGGATAGCAGCATGGCACAGACAGAGGGAGAAGCAGCTGCCCAGTACTCCAGCTCAGACTCTCTGTCCTCTAGGACGTCACAGCCAAGGGCAAACTCACCCCCGACAGACAGAGGACGGGAGGGAGGAGCTGGCACCACACGGGTGGTGTATTCAAGGCGACTGGCGGCAGCAAACTCAGCGACAGCGGCAGTGAGAGCCGAGACAGACGACGGAGGGAAACGAGAGGTGGTGACAAGAGTGGCGAGGACACGAGAGACAACAGGACGAACAGAGCGGTAGTAGTCAGTGACAGGAGTAGGGGGGAAAGGGAGAGAGGACGGAGGAGGAGACGGGAGAACGGACTCAGGAGGAGGACGACGAAGAGACGAACAAAGGAGGGCAGTGCGGAGGTCGGTAACGGGAGACGAGGGACGAGCACGCGGAGGACAGGGATGGACACGAGAGTGTGGGACACGAGGTGGAGGAGACTGCGGTGGAGGAGAAGACCAGACCGCCGGACTGTCGTCAGGAGGAGGAAACGTGGGACCAAACGCTAAAAGGGGACGGAGTGTGGAGGAGAGGAGGGAAGACCAAGGGCCCGAAGGCCACTCACGGGTGGGAACAACTGCCGCTCCAGAGGGAGCTGCGGTGGTCACGGCGGCGGCGGTGGTGTCTGCTGCTGCGGCGGCGGCTGCTGCTGCGGCGGCGGCTGCTGTTGCGGTCGCTGCTGCTGCTGCTGCTGCTGCTGCTGCTGCTGCTGCTGCTGCTGCTGCTGCTGCTGCTGCTGCTGCTGCTCCAGCAGGTCCAACTGCCGCAACTCCTGCCGCTCCCTCTCCAACAGCACCTGCTCCTCACGCTCACGCCGACGGGCCGCCTGGAGACGCATGTCGTGGCGGTGGGGAGGCGGAGTGGACTCCGCAGAACCAGGGTCTCCAGCCCCAGACTCCTCAGAACCAGCACCTCAGTGCCAGCGCCTCCAGCACCAGCACCCCCAGAACCAGCACCTCCAGCTCCAGCACACCCAGAACCAGCACCTCCTGTGCCAGGACCCCCAGCTCCAGCACCCCTAGAGCTAGCGCCACCTGCGCCAGCACCTCCAACTCCAGCACCCCCAGAACTAGCACCTCCAGTGCCAGCACCTCCAGCTCCAGCACCCCCAGGGCTAGCGCCACCTGCGCCAGCACCCCCAGCGCCAGCACCCCCAGAGCTAGCGCCACCGGCGTCAGCACCTCCAGCTCCAGCACCCCTCGAACGAGCACCCCCAGACCGAGGACCGCCAGCGGCTGCACCTCCAGCTCCCACACCAACCGAGTCCACAGTAACCTGTCGCGGAGGTGCCGAAGGCTGCTGAGGGGACTGTGAGGAGGACTGCGGGGAGGGAGACGCGACCGGACGCGCGACCGAGGGAAGAGGGGTAGCGTGGGACACACCAGACGGGGCAGGACCAGGGGGGGGCGGGGGTACCGGCGGAGCGGGAGCAGGAGGAGGAGAGGGTGCGAGGAAAAGAGGAGGGGGTACCGGGAGACCTCGACAGGGGTACCGGGTGTAGTAAGACACAGACTCGTCAAACCAGACGTCACGGGAGTCTAGGAACTGGTGGAGGGGCGGGTGGTAAAAGGACCAGTCGGCTGAGTCCACTGGGAAACCAAGGAAGACACATGGGACGGCGCGTGCCGAGAGCTTGTCCGCGGAGGTGTCGTGAACAAGCGCAAGGCAGCCCCAGACACGAAAGGCCGCCCAACACCAGGGGAACCGGTCCAAAGACTGGTCGGTGAAGCCTCGGGCCGTGAGACGCGCGGCTGGAGGTTCAGCTGGTGTGCGGCGTAGCGAACCGCGTAGGGCCACAGAAAA